ACCAGTGTACCTTGTTAATATAAAGGTTTACTTTTCAGGTAATAGCCACGTTCTCCAATAGCAGTGTTTTACAGAATTTAACAGCAGCAGAAGGTGTCATCTAAGGAAGAAAATTGTTCAAATTCATGCCCTCTCCAGCACGGCCTGTTTTATTTTATCTTGTCTCTGATTACCGTTAACGTTTACACAGAACTGAGGAGGAAACACAAGCATGTGCCTGAACGTTATGGCTAGTCTAGCAAAACAAAGCTAAGTAAAACAAATCTCACATTGCAACTCGCTCACTTTATGGAATGGCTGTGTGCCTAGGTGATTCTCCTCTCTGAAGGTCTGCGTACTGTTCCACTCCTTGTCCCAAATGACAGTGCAGAAAGATGAACTTAGCTTGGATTAAATGCGTGGACTCCTTTGATTCCCTTACATGAGCCATAAGTTAGCCTATAAGTAGAAAGCACGAGCTTGTTTTGACATAAATGTTTACAATAGAAATGGATTTTTTCTGTTTTTTTTTTTTTGTGTGTGTGTGTTTTGTTTTTTTTTTTAGTCCTTCCCATTTGCCTCTCCCAAAACTAAATTAAATATATTACGGCTCTCATATTAGTGACATTTAAACAGGTTCTTTCATAATTTAGCTTAGTCCTGTATAGCCATTATATATTATAAAGACATTTTTCATTTCTGTGGGCTGCCAGATGTGCTGGTGATACCTTCTGATCTTAGATAGTTTGACATTGATTTTCTTAGCACACGCCAGGGTAGAAATCTGGTCTGTAACTCATCCAAATGATCTATTCATAACAAAAAGTGCCTTCTGGCAGTTGCACCACAGCTGAATACTGTTAAACTGAATTCATCATTTCATTTGTTTCTGATTGCTCTATATGTTTACATATCTTACATATTAGTATGATCTTTTGTAGAGCACACACTGAGGTTAAATCCTCCCAGATAGAACCTTTTCCTCCTTCTTTTCCCTTTCAGATGTTGAACTTCTCTTTTTCCATTTACATGAACAGAAATCTTGGAACTGTTTTAATGCTCGTCTCAACAGAAATGAAGGGCTAAGCAAGTAGGAATGCACATGTTGGGGAGATGAGGAAAGGTGATCTTTTCCTGCGCAAAAGAATTCTTCCCTATCCACAGCTCAAATAATTGTGAGGAATTGCTTGTCAGGGAGTATAACACTTCTGTAAGTAAGCATTGTTATAGATGGGGCAATAGTCCCTGTGTGAATATTTTCAAATGAAATATTTATAGATGCTGCTTATGACTCAAAATGTGAATAGGTTCAAATGCTTCTCATCTCCCATCTTCAGATGCCTGCTGCAATAATTGTGCAGAGTGCATTCTGACATCTAGCAGAGGGCAAGTGACTTTACCCTCCCTGTGTTCCAGTTTCTCTATATGTAAAAAATAATAAACGTTAATATGCTTCACAATAGGAGTGTGTTACAGGATGGGTTTAAGTTAAATAGAAGGAAGAAAATCTGAGGCTCCTTTTTGAATACAAATTTTAACTTTCAAAGAAGGATGTCATCTCTTATTTGCTTTAAAAATAAAAATCAATTGCCCATAAATCTAAAACAGATGTTGTTTTTCTACTAAAAAGATTAAGGATTTTCTTAAGCTCATTAAAGGAAAAAAATGACACCACATTGATCCATCTATATCATCATAAGAATGTCTGAAGGCAGTAGAAAACTATGAAAAGGACATGGTGTTAGTGGAATAAAAATAACCGAGTCTGGCAAACTGGGCAAACCTAAAACTTTGGGTTCTGCGGCAAACTTTGCACAATTTCTCCAACCTTACGCTTATGTCTGGTCATGTGTTTTAGTGGGATTGAGTGGTATGTATACTCAAATAGAATTTAGACTTGTTATTATGAAAATACAAATGCCAGCTGCTACATGGCTTGAAAAACCTAAGTGTCATCCAAATTATTTCAAGGAGGGGAAATGGAAACCGTTTGCTATCTCTTGCGCATGTGTTTGCAGAAGAATGTTCGCCCTATTGCTTTTCAAAGAGGTTGTGCCTGGTTTTGGGAGTCTGTTACTTCCCAATTTTCTCACCATGCACATCAAAAACCAGAATTAAGATACCTGCCATGGTGTCTGCAAAATGTGGATTAAACTTTTTAAGTGAAAGGAGGAAATAGGGAATTTAATGATGCCACTTACAGTACTAATAAATCCGAGCATGACAGCCAATGTTCTTTATTTTGGTTGGGAGTTCTTACAGATGAAAAAAAAATGATTACCTAGTATCCCAGTAGCAACGTCCATCAAATACAGAGCTCGTTTGCTCTGCATACGTGTTGAAAGTTTGCTGGAATGTGTACAAATGGTACTTTAGTAGGAAGATGGTAGGAAAGGCTCAGTGTAATTTGCAAAGAGCCTGCATGGAAATACCTGTCCTGGCAAATGCCTGTGAGTCCCCAACATACCAGGCCAGTGCCAGGTCCAGGGGCACTTTGGTCCTTTAATCAGTATAACCTTTTACTGTTATCGGACACACAGAACAATTTGGTAAATTGTGGAGCAATGACAGAAGAAAGTTTTTTTTTTAAAGTGTACCATCCTTATTATGCCTTCTTATGTGTTCATAAAGCATCTTTGTACCTTTAACATCCATAGAATATTTGGTCTTTTCACACTATGCAGCCGTTGAATTTTAAGCCTGATACATCCGGTGGAGCTAGATTCACAAATCACAGTAGATTATAGAGTACTGCAAAGTTTACTGGATCAAAAATACTTTGAGAGGGCATTTCAAGAAAGCAAGCCCCTTCTGCCCTAAAAGTTAATTCCTACCTATAGAGAGATGGGTTGTGTCCATGGCCATAGGAGGGGAACGAGACAGGATGCTCGGGTCCTCAGCACGCTTCCAACACCGGTTCAGAGCAGACAGCAATCGGCAATTTTGACCTTATGCGGTGTTCTCAGTAAGGTCAGTGATGTGGAATTGGTTTAAAAATCAGCTTATTTTCGGATTTTAAATTTTAGAAACATTTAGTGAATAATTTCTGTTGCACTTCATTTTGTTATTGAAATTGTAAGAGAAGGCTTGCCCAATAGAGGTGTTGAAAACTCCAAGCTGTATTAATTTGTAGTTTTAAGAGAAAACAAAACAAAACCAAATGTCTTTGCAATGTTTTTGACGTAGCTTTGTCCACTTGGAGTCATAAATGCCTTTTTAAATTCAGTGCAGCTATTCTTGCTCTTTAATGGGTTTAGTCAGCCAAAACGTTACGCAGACACACAGCCACATGTGCACGCATACATCTGTAGCGAAAGTAAGACAGGGTACCAGAGCTGATAGGGGAGAATTGGGCAAGATTCTCCTATTTGTTAGACACGTTAAAGAGAAAAATCAGGATTGCTTGAAATTTTAAGGATACGTTTTGAGAAACCAGTTCTCATTGCTTTGTTCTTCTACTTCACATCATGACAAGAATCAGCTGTAATGCAATTTGGTGGCTGGAGAAGACTATTGTTTGTGCAGAAACCTCCCTGCTGCTGGTATATTTACTAAACATGTGGGATGCACGAATGCCAGTAAACTGCATCTTAGCACATATTCCCCAGTTGCTAGCAAAAACTGTCTTTAAAGTTCGGCCCATTTAAATGTAAGGAGAATGTGCATTGAATTTAACAGAAACAGGGCTAAATTTTTATTTACCACTCCTTAACTATTTTAACATGAAATTCTTGCCTTATTGAAATTAACAGCAAACTTCAAGCATCCTTTAAGGAGTCTAGAATTTTGCTAAAGAAGACAAAGGTTGAAATATAAAAAAAGCATTGTTCTGTTCGTATAATCCTAGGATCGCTTGGGTTGGAAGGGACCTTAAATATCTAGTTCCAACCCCTGCCATGGGCAGGGAGGCCACCCCATAGATCAGACTGGCCAGGGCCCCATCCAGCCTGGCCTTAAACACCTCCAGGGATGGGGCATCCACAGCTTCTCTGGGCAACCTGTTCCAGAGCCTCAATACCCTTATAGTGAAGAATTTTCTTCTGCCAGTCTGACCTCAGGTCTGGGATTGCCCTGACCTTGCACTTGGACTTGTTGAACCTCCTGCAGTTCACATGGTTTCTTTCTGGACTGGAATGTAAGTCTAGAAAATCTGTCTAGTCTTTTGAAAGTGGAACGGGTTTAGCAGGGGAAGGAAAATGCCTTTCAACCTTATAAACTGCTAATAGATATCTTCTGAAGAGCAGAGAGAGGAAATGAAGTAGTGTCTCCCACATCCTGAGCAACGTAGCTACTGAAGGGTTGTATCGGAAGAAGCCATCGCTGTATGTGGGGATAGCACATCAGTTCCTGAAGGGGAGTGCTTCGATACCTTCCTTAACGAAAGGGCTCACAGATATGAAGGAACGTTTCATGTAATGCTAAGCCTAAGCAGCAGAATCTAAAGCTGACCCAGGCAAGTATTTCCTGTTGGCTAGGACAAGCAAATCCCCTTTCATCCAGGCCAGTTTTGCAGTTTCCACCCAAGACACCTGCCTGGGAGCTGGCAGCTCTTGGGGAAACCTCTCTGTGTGCTGGATCCCCCCTTGAGTCTCATCTCTGAAAACATACAGGAGGAGCGCTCTGTAAACACTGGGTACTGATAATGTTAGCTGTGTTTTCTGATGACTGTCTAACACAGACTGTTTTATCCAAATGTTCATTTAGATAAGGTGTTTTTCTGGAGAAGCAAAGCATTTGCTCTCTCTGTGTAAAATACAGCTCCTATTCCTGAAAGTTTCTTCTTTGGCTTGTTGTGTAAATGGGTGTGAGTGGGAGAAATACGAGTTGTGCAATCAGTAGCTGCAGCTGTGTTGTCTAAAAATGATGCCAATGATGACATATTTCTCTATATTCTCCATAGAGTAAATCTTTACTTATACATTTCCACTCATTGGTAACTTCAGTGCAGAAGCAAAAACTGTTTTCAGTATTGGACTTGGACAGTTAGTTTGGGTCACTGAATCTATTTCTTACTTTTCCAGGTCAGTGAAACACCCATTTTTGTGCCTGGTGTTTGGGGACCTTATTTCTCTGCTATGGTACCTGGATTGTGGTTGAACGAAGGAGGTCAGAGTGCTACAGGAAAACTGGTAAGTGCATAGAGACACAGGCCCCAAGATGGGAGCTAACTGTCATCATTTGGGATAGCTTCACTGCCAATTAAGCCAGAGCTTTGCCCGAAACATCTTTACAAGATCATAGGAAAACCCATGCTGCTGAAAGCAGTAAACAATTAGGTGATTGCTCTGTCCTTACAGCCTGTTCATTTTCATTCTAGTAGGGAATTATATATGGGGCAGAGCACTTCCTCCATAAAAGGAAGACATGCCCTTCCTTTTTATATAGTTTTAGAGGCAAATAGGCATTCATTCTCTATGTTAGCAGGAGGCTGAGATAGACTTCGAGATAAAGAAAATTACACATTTTGTTATATAGAACATTTGTACTCATTCATTGATGAGTGTAAATGAAAGATGTATGGACAGAGTAGTAATATATTGACATGCTATCCTATCTATATCTGTTCTATCCCTTGAGTACAAAGAGTCTGAGTGTATTAGGTTAATTTAATTTATCAATAAAAATAATAATAATAAAAAAAACCGTAGTGGATCCTCTAAAAGTGAATTGTCTTATTTCCAGGGAGGCACTAAATACTAAAACACTGATGTCAAATTTAAAGAAAGTCTCGCTGTGTAAAACAGTATTTAGGTTAAATGTCGGCGTCTTGAGTCCTAAAGTGTCAGCAAGAATTCGATGTCTGCTCAACCCCAAAAGCTTCTAAAGCTCCCAATGTGGCTCCCTGCTCGCTCAATGCTGACCAGCCCTGAGCAGCAAGGTGCCAGGATCCTGTTGAGAAACTACAGGAAGCAGGGCCCAGTCCTGCGGGTGTTCTCTGTAAGCTCATGAAACATACAGGTGGGTTTGGCCTTTCACAAATTGCAGGCATAATTGCTGTCTTACTCAGACTGAACACCGCCTACCTCTTAAAAAGCCTCGTGATGCGAGTACCTGTCCAGGAAGTAGCGGAGTCGGGCATCACTGCATTCACGCATTCCATATGAAACAATCACTGAACAAGGAACAAAAATAATCCTGGATCAGGAAGCTCAGACACACCCTAAGCAGTGAGCTATGACTTGGTGTTCCCTCCCGTGTGCGGTCCTTGGCCACGTGAGTCTTAAATTCCTGTCTGCACAGTGTCACACCTTCAGTGGGAGAGTCAGCCCTCTTCCTCCCCTCCAGCCTCCAATCCTCATCCCAGCATCTGCCTACCCTTAGCCTCGTGGCTAAAGCACTCTCTCAGTAGGTAGGATGTGTATGTGTTAAATTTTTCAGATTGAGTTGGGGCTAGAGCCGAGGTGTCCCATTTTATAGGTAACTGCTACAACCAGAAGTAAAATTTAGTTACTGCTCATGACAAACCACTTCAAAAGGAAAACAGAAAATCTTGTGCATTACTTTGTAGGAACACTTTGAGAGATGTCTCTATGCATTTAACCCAAAGTGGGTGGAGACATTAAACTAAGCTCTAGAGAGGATACAGCAAGTCAGTGTTCTCTGTTAGCTGGCATATGGTTGTTCCCCACTGAAAATGTACTGTGAGCTTTATGTTAGGGCATTTCAAAATTTTTCAGTAATTATCGGATTCCATTCTAGTACCAGAGAACAAGGTGCTCCTGAGTCATTTAAGAAATTGCTGGAAAAATGTATATTCTTGTTAGGATGCATAGCAGAAGTCAACTGTAGTAATATTAGGTATATTAGGGAAGCTATCTTACTGAAACGTTCTTAGAATCTTTCATGTGGTTTTGTTGAGGTTGTATGTACAGCAAACACATGGGGAGCCACAGGAAGAAACAGTCTGTGCACACTAGCATGGAGGATAGACCACATTCAGCATCACTGCAATTTTAAAGCTATAGTCTTTGTAAGCTTCTGCTTTCTCAAGCTTTTACCATCTGGACACGTTTTGGGATTATTTTCACTGCTTGGCCTATGCCCAAAGGTGAATTATTTTAGAGCTATCTGTTGAATTTAAAATGCTTCCCTTTAAAAATCTGTAATTATTTTTTTATTGATATAGCTATGAAAAAGTCTGCTGGATTTTGAACATTGGTTCACATAGAGTCCAAATGAAGAACTGAAAACTCTGATTGCTTTGAAAAAGTTTGTGTATTGATTAGTTGGACTTTTGCATTGGACTTTCAAAATTTACAGAAAGAAAGGTATTGCGTAACAGAGACAAAGGATGTCATAATATCATTACAAACTGTAAAATAAAGAATAGCAGAAAAGAGTTTCTGTATGCAACCCTCATGTGGCCATGTCTTGAATTCAGGGCATTTAAATATCTAACTTTATAACTACTGTAACATTTTTGTGTAAAGTGTTTTCATAGCACATGCATACATATGATACTTATTTATAGATTTGTTTCTGAATTTATGAGCTGCTCCTGTGTTCTACGGAGATTATTCAATATTGCAAATATCAGGCCAAAGCTTTTTTTCTAATGCATGTGCATGTTTGAGTTTTGTCTTTGATGTAAATCTCAGAAGGAACAGGCATACGTTATTTTTATTCCTACATTCAGATGCATATGCTTCATTATAAAAATTTTGCTACACTAGTTAAGGCCCAAACTCATACAGTGAAAAATGAGGTACCTAATGTGGTTTGCTGCTAGTAGGTATTACCAAACATAGTCGGTGCAGTTGAGTAGCTCTAGTTTTGCTTCCTTAGCTTTTATGGTCACACTGATGGAATATTATAAAAAGGCCACAAAACCTGCTGAATTAGTCTTAAAAGTCCATGTACTTCAACCTGATACTTTGTTTTGTGAATAACGATAGCCATCCTGGAGTTGAGGAATGTTTTAAAATTTAGTATAGGCAGAGCCTGTATTGAGCTTTTTATAGCAATAATTGCTTGTAGGGGAAACATTTTGTTTCCTGCAATGAGCATATGGAGCATGTATCAGGATGACAACACACCTTGTGTTTTATCTTAACAGTGTGATATAGAAAGATGTAGGGATTTCAGCCAAGAAGATGCTCCTGGTAGAATTCCAGTGAGGGTATGCACTAAAGCAAGAGGAGAGATTCGAGGACATATTCTCAAATATAGTTGGACAGGAAAAAAAAATCCATCCTTTCAGCTTGCTGTTCTGACTCAGGAGCGATATGCTTATATGTTGCCTTTTTTTGCTATACAGTTGTTTTTACTTACTGTTCTTAAGCCAAATTGTGAATCCAGTAATGTCAGTGGGAGTTTTGCCATCGGCTTCACGAGGACTTAATACTTCATAAGTAATTTAGAAGCTCTCGTCTTTTTAAAGTTATAAAACTGCATTGCGCGTTTCCAGGACTGAATTTTTAAGAGGTATTCATTCCATAAATGTTGTTTTCCTCTTTTTCAGATAGAGCATGTGGTCCGAGGCCATGTTGCCTTCCCGGAATTACAATCAAAAGCCGCAGCCAGGTCACTGTTCTTATTTCTTTGTAACTTGCCTGCCTCACCAATTGATGATACACTCTATTCCCAGCACTGAGAAACTGCAGTGCTCTACACATATTCTGGAACACAAGAATCAGCAGAGCAATACTGGTTTGGAAGTATTTACAAAGGCTTCCCAGGTGATTGCTCAGAGCTCAAAGCTTTAACCTCCCCTCGGATACCCTCAGGGTATCTAGGTGGTGATACCAACTTCCTCCTTTTCAGTGTATTTTGTATCCAACCCAGCATATTTCTTGGTACCGAAGAATCAGTGCTGTTCAGCAGAGCATCTTGAGCTAATGATGTGTCTTTATTTGACATACGGAGCTCTATGGATGAGATAGGGCTTAATTAGAAATAGATTATTAAATACTTTTTGAACAGTCATGTGAAGGAAAGTATAGCCATGGTATGAAACTCCTGCATGACAGCAAAAATAGAACACAGAAAGCCAGGATAAATTTTCAGTCAAAACTTAAGCTGTAGGAGAGATTCACATGGAGTTCCAGGATTCCTTGAGCATGCAAATATGAGAGATGTAGAATTTTAGTTTGGTCTGCTTTAGAAGTGGATGAGGACAGTTCAGACGCTTCTGTTGGATCTGAACGTTCTGAGACTATTTTGGCTTGGGTTCCTCTTAACATGGTTCACAGCACTCCCATAGAGATCTTAGCTGAACAATTCAGCACATTGGATGAAAAATTGATTCTCTCTTTAATTTCTTCTTCTTCCTTGGACCAAAGAAGGAAACAGAAAATTTTCCACTTTATCTACAGTTTATCACTCTGGTCTAAAAGACAAGTGATGGTCCTGAGATATGTATTAAAATTCATGTAGTTACTTTCAGCTCTCCCTGGGGAGATAAAGGTACCTGGTTTCTCTGGATGACCCTTTGATGCTTTGTAATGTTCAGTGTCTTATTTGTTTGCTAAGAACTTGACCAGAATTCCCAGAAATCTATTGGACTTCATTCAGTATGGAATAGATTCATGCTTCCTAGAATTCTCTTTGTTGTTCTTAAAAAAAGAAAATGGGGAAACAAATGTATCTCTGTGTTGGAATAACGATTGATCTGGACTGCTTGTGGGGTGTTTTTTTCCAGAATTTTAGTTTCCAGGCCATTTTTCCTGAACCCCCATATGAAGCGCAAGCTTAAGACAAAGAATTAGTTTGGTCTCTAATGCCAGGAGAAACCATTTTATGTGTGTTGCAGAAAAAATGAGTATGCAGTTGCCTGCTTGTCTATATTGGGGTCTGATACTGACTGACCACAACTAATTTCATAGTGCTAAGAGTTTAGATTGTGATCTGGATAGGCCACTAAATACAGAATGTCGGGAAGAGAAAGCTATGTTATCTGAGGTTGTGGTATCATAACTTTGGATTTGAGTCTTCTGCGGTAAGTAAAACTGTGAAAGAGAACATTGATAAAAAGATTGTAATATTTTATTAAAAGGATTATAAAATTTTTATAAATATTAATTTGTTCAATGTATTTTTATAATGCTTTCCAGATATTATACTCCTAATGAAACGTTTTGATTGCTACAAACTTAGTAAACCAGTCTCTTATTAATTCTGCCATCCCCTTTCTCCCTCTCCTTCTCAAATATTTGTAAAATTTCGGTAATTCCATTTGAATCAACAAAAAACAGGAACTTATTTTTCTCCATATTTGTTTCCTTCTACATACTGAACACAAACTGTAGCCTTATAGCAGGGACTATAGCAGTAGCTGTACAAGTGTGATGCATTTTTTTTTTGCGAACACTCTTGGCCCAGACTTCGTACTGTGTTTACTTGCATTAAGTCATATACTTAATGAGAACATAGTGTCTCGTTTGGAGGATTGTTGACGATGGTGATAAATTACGTGCCTGGAAATCTCAGCAGAATATTTCAGAGTCTCTCTTTTTATTATATTATATTTAGTATATTCTTGGTGTAGAAATTTTTATCTGTCCCGCAATTGCGAAGGGTCACTGAAAGAAAACAAATTCCATGCTTCATGTGCAATTGCTTGTTCCCTTTACTTCCCAAGCAAGGTGCAATGCTGGGAAGAGTTGAGCTGGTTTTGTGGTGACAAAAAGCACGTGTCTATCTGGATACTTTAAAGAAAAACATCCAAGGTGAAAAATATGTGCCTCTTTTTTGCGGCCTACTTCTGCCTTCCCAAGCCTGTCTTCCAGGCCTTCCTCTCAGGCTCCCAACACTGAGTAAGTAGGCTCAGCAGTGTCAAACTGCCTGCTGAGCATCTGGCCTCAGAAACCACACTGTGCAGATTTCTGTTCCTTTGCATATACCAGCAGCAAGAGTTTGCATGCTGCATTTATCATTGTTTCAGCTGATTTGTGGTAACTTGTTAGGGCGTGAGTGGCTTAGATGCGCTTGCCAGAAACCAGCTCCCGATGACCACTTGTGCTGAAGACCAGTCTTGTGCAACCCTCCCAGTCCTATTCCCATGTTCTCTTTTCCCTTCTTTTACTGGAAATGGAGAGGGTTGAGTTACATGGGGATTGTCCGGACAGCTGTAAATTTAGCAGTTGGTCTAACTAATTGACATACTCGGTGAACATCAAAGCTTCTTTTTTTTCCCTGCAGTTCACTGAGTTGCAGAAATTTCTGTGTAGATAACACATTTGGTCTTCACTCCATATATTGTGTAGGTCTGACATCTACCCATCACATACGGTAAAATCCAGTATGTGTAGTCTAGAGTAGAAAGTCAAAGAAATAACACCATCATTTATGCTTTAAAATTTAAATACTTACGTTCCCTAAAATCACAGTTTCTAATCTTCTGGTGGAAAAAGGGTCTAACTGTTTGCCATCAAAGATTATATGCCTTTTGATGTTGAGCTCTGTTTGTCAAGAGCTTCGTTTTGGGACAAAATTTGCTTTCCTTCCTTGATGCCATTTCCCCATCTAATGGCTCCTGAAAAAAAAAAGCAGTGAAGTAACACACAATATCTGTCAGCTGTTCTGGTATCTTTCAAGCAGAACATTGTAATATTTGGCAGTTTTCTGTATGTGTAGATTTTTGTGGCCTTTTTTGTAGATTTGAATATCTAAAATTTCTAGATTTTTTCCTCAAAGATGCATGCTGACACCTTCCAGGATTCTTAAACAGATTAAATACCAAACTTTGTTGCTTTTTGAAATCATGCCCCTAATAAGAACATAACCCTGGGCAAACTTGTATTGATTTCTTATTCTCCACTTTCAACATAGTTCCTTTTTAAGAGCAGTAGCTTGTGCCTAGCTCTGCAAACCAGCTCCAGCTGCTGCTGATACCATCTCCTGGAACTGGATAGAAAAAGCTTCAGAGAGCTCATGGCGTAATACTGCAGGCTTGGTAGAAACTGGAGTAGCAGGAAATTAAGGACTTTGCCAATCACTCAGACTCGAACCCACATCTATATATAGATAAAAAGAGAAAAAGGTGTGAAAAAGTGTAATTCCAAGGTTATCTGGATCCTAAGCATAACTGGCTGAATTTCAGCTTGTTTTGTGCAGTCCTTGTGTTCTGGTTGTGTCAGAGTGGCACAAATGGCTAACCCTTGTGAGAATAATCAAGCAGCATGGAGATCAGATGGAAGCTGGAATTTCTAGTGGGTTTCTGGTTGAGTGAAGCTTTCCTTTCTTTTTCTTCTCAACAGTCAAACCTTGGATTAGACTGGAAATACAATGACTTTGTCCTTACACATACTGCATATAGCGCAGTCTTTAGGGATGTAGAAAGTAAGGCCACCTCTACACAAGGGGGAAAAAAAAAAGGAAAGGAAAAAGAAAGAAAAAAAAGACTGTGACCTCAAAATTATCATCATTCAGGTCCAGGAAGACACATAAAGCACATTTAAAAGTATGTGAATAATGATGTGAATTAGTTATTTTAATGTCTTCCAAGTGTACTTCAGTTTGAATGATATCCTCTGATAGCATACACATGGTAAGGTATAATTGAAAAAACATGTAGCTGAATGGTTGAATGCAAAGTATAAATATACAGCTGCTAGCAGGTCAGAAGTCAAACTAGTAAAGCATATGCCAAATTCCCTTAGGGATCTCATTAGTGTGTGATTGAATATACATGTAGAGGCTAAATGACTATCACTGTTTGGGTCTACAGTGGATGAGACAATGACTAATCAATTGTAATTAGGGTTAGATGTATTATTGACCCACATGTCTAGAATTAAATGCCCCACTTGGAGATTTCCAAGGAGTTGAAAAATATATACGAATCTGTTTATGATAGGATGAGTGTTTGAAAAAATATTCTGAGCATAATTGCAACATTTTTTAAATGGAATGTCACTAGAGCTGTTGCAAGCCAAAGCATTGAAGAATTCACTGTTAGTCCTAAGATTACTGGTTGTCCAGGAAAATGTCTGGTGAATGTTGTGGAGCTGGGTGTAGTATCTCAACTTAGATACAATCATATTTAGGCCCATGTTCGGCTCCTCCCTAAAATAGCAGCCACTTGCTTTCTCTCCTCCACCCTTAGTGCTGCATTTTAATCATAACACATACTGAAATAATTATGGTTTAAAAAAGGAAAGCTGAAAGCCTAGTGCTATTGATTAATTGGAGAAATTTTTAAACATGCGTAACTCTCGGCTTTCTTTTCTCCAACTTTCTCTTTCACAGTGTCAGCACCTTTCTGTTACAGACAAGCAGCATCAAAGCCCAAAATATCAGACTACTTGGTCTCGACTAGGGGCCCGTAGGAGATAATGTACAAACTCGAGATCACAAGCTTCTAGTATCTTCCCTTATCCTACAGACCTGAGGAATTTGGATCATCTGCTGGATGGACATGGAGAAAGGCATCCCCACTGCCTGCACTCTGCAATGCCATGAGCTTGGCAAGCAGAGACTTTTGTCTTTCTCCCCCTTTGTTTTACTTTTGGGATTTGGGATTCTTTGATGGGTTTTCTGCATTTGATAGTAGTACAAATGTTTTATGTTTGATGAATAACCTCCCCCACTTTTTTTCCAACTTGTTTTTCTTCTAGAGCTCAAAGTATATATACATACTTGAACAGTCACCTGGATCTGATTAAGAAATCCTTGCCTGTGGGTTTCCTCACTGTTGATTTACATGTTTGGCCAGATTTCCATGGTAACAGATCTCCCTTAACAGATCTGACACTAAAGGGCATGGTAAGAAACAGCCTGTCTTTGCAAAGAGGTCAATACAGGGTAAAAAAAAAAAAAAATCTGGAAGAAGCTTTTTTTTCAATTTTGAACATACTCCTCCTCAGCTATTTAAACTATCCCATAGGATTTGGGTTTCTTGCTGTATTTTGAAGTGTGCTTATGTTTCAGTAGAAAACCAGAGATCATTATAGTTCAGATATCACTACAGCCACATTTATTTTCTAAAAATGAGTGTGTCTCCCAGTATCTTTCCCAGGAATCATACTTCATAACACTGGCTAGCAGTGCTCACACTTGTTACCTCCCCTCCCTACCTGATTTTGCATCTCTGCTGTGATGAATTTTAGCACAAATTTGAGTATACCTACCTGGGAAATGAATGAAACGTTCTCTTGAGAGATTGCTTAATTAAAGAAGATAAATGTTCAGTAAAGGTATTTTATCAGAGTTGCTGGGTGGCAAATTTCAACGGAAACTGAAAAGCTCCTCTGCTTTTTGTTAAAAATGGGCATAGATGGTAAATATGCAGGCACGGTGCTTCATACGTCTTTGCTCAAAGCTAAACCCAATCTTCTGTGGTTTTAAAAATGCTACTTTTGGAACGCAAGAGGCTTGAAATGTTGTGTTCTGCATGAGGAAATTTTCAGAGCACTGCAGTCTGGAACCAGAGAGATCCTTTGCTGGGGAGCTTTTCAGCTGCAATTTAAACATTTGGATGTTTCTTTTCACTGAACGTCAGAGTGGTAGATAGGCTAGGTAACAGGCCAGGATGTTACTGTGCAGGGTCGTAACAGAAAGCTGTCGTAAGGGCATAATTGGATGGTATCAAAATGCCTAGTGATTAATGCAAAAACATACGTCAAAATGTCATCTTGTCCTTGAAGTGAGTATCTCAAGCTACTTTCCAGCATCAAAATTTGCTGTATTTGAGGCTGAGCTATGAAAGGGTAGTTGTAAGCACTGCCACATATTTTAAACTGCAAACAGGGGAAACATTAAAAAATACAGATAGCTTACGTATTTGTGTGGTCCTATTATACCTGCATTGTTTTATGGAAGAGCCATAGCCTTCAGAAGAATTAGAATTTCCCTTGGTACGGTGGCGCTACGCAAATATTGGTAATAGCAGTGCATTTTCTCTGCCACATTTATCGCTGCACTCAGGTCTTGCCTATGCTGATATTAATCCAGAGTAACTACAGTGCAATATTGATTTATGTCAGAGTAAAGGAGGTTAAGATATGGTCTTTAATTATTAATTGTCTTTCAGCGTTAGGGTGCTTGGAAAGGAGAGGGAGAAGTGCTTTTAAAAACTTATTTTTATGTAATAGCATTTTCATATTATTACATTAAATACATTCACAAGCAATGTCTGAGTCATAACATAAAACTGTCAGAGTTAATCTATCTCTAATCCCACACAATATGCTGTTTGTTCTTTATTTCTTTGCAAGGGCAAGAACAATTTATGTGGTTCTTCCCCAGATCAGGAATAACATGTTTAACATAATATTATGTGTATAACTTACAAAAATAGGGCTTAGAATTAGCACTTAAACTTGTTACAACAAGAAACCATAGAAAATAAAGAGTTTTACCTTGGCTGGATTTGTAATTTTATTTATTTTTTTGATCTTTGCACAGGTTGTTGGACTAACATTGTCTCGGGGTCTGGATGAACTTGCCCTTATCTACTTGGCCACGATTCAAGCCATTGCTGTAAGCCATTTTAAGTGCATAAAAGAATAAATGAATTGTCTCATGTTCTGTGGCGGACCGATCATTCCCTTCTGCTAAACAGATTTCTAATAATAGCTGAATTCACTTAATGGACTTCTTAAAGGAGCAAGATACTGTTTACCCACATTGGTGAGGGCTCCCTGCTGTATGAGACAGAGTGTGGAGAGTGTGTTCCCCTAAAAAGTTTTTGTATGACAATTCAGAGCCTTTGTGTCTGATGCCGATGTGAGGAAAGAGGCTGATAATTTAAGGGGCAGTGTTGACATTATGGGCGTGGAACTTGCTTTCCCCTAAGATGCCTGACTTTCAAATTGTTCCTAAATCTGTGGATTTGCCTGTGTTGCCTGGTCAATGAGCCAGAACTGCACCGCAGCAAGTTGGAGGGGGTCAGTGGTTCAGCTGGTAGCTCTCCTGACTGAATGGACCAGATCTCATTCCTCCCTTGTTGCAAGGCAAGCAGTTGTCCTCGTACATGGCATTTCCAGGCTGTGGCTGTGTTTCTGTAAAAGCAGATGAGAGACAATCATTACAAGAACATAGATATTTGCTAACATGCAGAGATGGGTAATTTTATTGAAATACTTTTATTTCTGCCATAGTTTTCTCAGATGAGAGACTTTCTGGAACCCACAGTTTCCAGTTCACGAGAAATTCTATTTTGAAATGAAAACCTGGGTCAAAGAAGTTGTTTTGAAACACTGGTGCAGGGGATTTGCAATGAGGCGTGCTATCCCTAGGCATTCGGGGACTGCAGCTGACATTCCTTTGACATCCTTTTTGTGATTTTTTATTTTTTTTTTAAAAAAGCTTGTTGAACTTGAGGTGTTTTTGCAAAACATTAACAGTTTGATGAATTGGGGAGTTTTCCTGACAAAACTCTGTTCGCTTGGAAAACTTCCAAACTCTTCTACTGGTTAAACAACAACTTTGCTAGGCTGGGTCAGCCATCTGGGATGGAGGGTGGGCGGCTGCTGTAAATTTACTGTGAATTGTACATCTTGTGTGTTAACCCTCCATCTTCAGCAAATAACGTGAGTCTAGGATTGATTGTTGTCAGTTTTGATCCTTTTAAATCTAGCTTGGTTTACCTGATGCTTCAGTATAATCCCCCAATTTTAATAAGAATGTGTAGGAGAGTTTAAACAATGCCAGCCACTGATACTGCCTTGAAAGAAACCGAAAACAAAACTTCCCAGTATCGAACAGGTGCTCAGGTATTGTACTGTGCTAATGAGGTGGAAACCTTCTCTGCTGGAAATCCTGGGAAAGTCACCTATTATCTCATTGTGCGATACAACTCACATTTTATTGTAAAACACGAACACTGTGTTTGACTCGAAATTCAGCATCTGTAGATCATTTTGATACTTACTTGCATTGATCATGAGATTTAATATAAAAAGGTCATACGCTGGTTTTCATTGTAAGTTCACAGAAATTGATTTTTCTGTGAACACTACCGAAATGGTAACTAGCAAGTAGACAGAAGTAGACTTGGTTTTCATTTGATACATTTACTAACTGCTGATGTGATACCTGAGAAATTTAATTTTACTCCCAATTTTGGTTTTGTTTTGCTGAAGGAAACAGTTCTTGCTCAGGACAGCCCCAGTCCCATACCATTAGCTGTCTTCAATGGGTGCAAGATAGGCTTTAAACCCAAGCAAAAATCTTGTAAAAAGTGTAGGCCTGCCCACAGAATGTTAATCTTTAGTTTTCTTTTCAGCAGGAGACGCTTTTTTCTTTTTTATATAAAATTTGCATTTGAAGCCCCTCAATTTGCATTTTTTCCAATCCAGGATTAAATTAGTTCCCCCCACGGTGAAATAAGTCTGGCTTTAATTTAAATTGCTCTGTGAATACAATTTTCCAGGCAGGTAAACACAAAATAATTTTCACAGCATTTCTCAGGGTCTTTGGCATGTGTATGTTGTGAGAGAAGTTGTTCATAAATTTGAATTTCAGAAGTAGTGGAAGAGAATATCCTTGCAGCTATTCATCCCAAAACGCGATGCAACAGTTAGACCAACGAGAACATGATCAGAGATATAATTGTGGCCGTCAAGCCAGTTCGGAGGAGACAGACTCTTTCTTGAGTAGTTTATTTTTCCATAATTAAAATTGCGGTTGTGTGATTTGGAAATTAGCCCTCTGTGTCAATAGGGAAGTGATGGATTTAGTCAGCTGGTGTTGCGGCTGCTGAAGTTCCTCATAACCACTCGCCTTAAAAACCAAAATATATTTGAAGACCTGTCCTGCGTTGTGCCAGTCATTCACAGTAAATGTCTCAAGTCTGATGAAACTCTGCTAGTTTCAATTTTCAGTAGCTTTTATTTAAGAGGAATTTATTGCAGGCTGCAGACCTCTTAGTGAACTCGCATCACAGCATAAGGAAAACCTGGTTATAAAGAAAACTTTATGCTATAACGGTTTGTGAAAACTTAACCAGGAGGAGTCTTCATACCAACAGTCAGTTTGGGTAAAATTTTGGCTTGAATTTGGCATTTTAGTCAAGTTTCTACTTCAAAATTAACTTCCAGGGTATTATAAAAAGCTGAGAACTTGGGGAGACAAACAGTTTGTAAGAGAAACTGAAAATGTTCTTGTAAGAGGAAAAAGGGAGAGGGGTTGACTTCGGTGAATAGTGGGAGGCAAGCAAAGCAAGCCTGAAAAGCAAAGATATTTTTTAAATGGCAAAGTGTTTGCTTTCATTGTTTACCGAGCACAACACTGAAATCATCTAATTTGAGTTTCTCAGAATGGAGAATTCTAAATGAGAAGTTTAAAAATATGCTCACATTTTAGACATGTTTCAATTAATCCAGACGTGAAATGGAACATTTTGTTTTGCTAAGGGCAAAGGCCAAGAGAAATAGTTAAGCCAATAGAAAATTCTTCAGGTTTTCCTTTTTGCTGAAAAGACAGAAAATACAGGTTTTTCATTTGCCCTCATTTTTTTCTTCTGTTTTGCCATTTGGCTCCAGAATTGAAATCTCTGTGTTGAGAGTGATTTTCAGATGCTTTTTTACAAAGTAAATAGGAATTTTGGTGAGAATGTTCTTTGCCATGTAGGGTTTAGTTCTGGGTCTGGAAATGTTTTCTATACTCTGCTGCTCATGGTCACCACCAGCTGCTTATCAGTGCCGTCAGGTTTTCCTGGTGCCCGTTTCTGTCTCTTCTCATACTCGCTGCCTTCACCCTTGTAGGTACTTCCCTGTAAGCCCCTTCTCCCTGTGTCACTGTAGACTGGCTGTTCCCTTCTTCAGCCATCCCAAGGATGTAGTATGATACATTGTGCCTGTGTACTTCCCAATTGTTGGTGCCATCTGTTTGATTTTTTCTTGTTCTCAATTACGATTTCGTTTACTGGATAAAGCTAAGCAGAGTCCATGCCCCTACAGATCTCTTCCCAGCCTCAGGTTACTGCTAGGGGACAGTTAGTATCTGCACATTTCAGTCCTACACATTGTCCTGAACATTGTTTTTTAAGATCTGTTCCTGTGGTTGTTCTCCTGTGCTCATTTGTTGTGTTCTTTTTTTATTATTATTATTATTTTCTTTTTTTTTTCCCTTTTTGAAGTTAGGAACAAGACATATTTTGGAAACTATGCAAGCTGCAGGGCATCATCTCAACACCCTATTTCTGTGTGGTGGGCTGAGCAAGAACCCTCTCTTTGTGCAGATGCACGCTGACATTACTGGTAAGTTAGAGGAAGTGTGGGGAAAGGAGTGTAAACTATTTTATTATTTTAGGTGGCTAAGTACTTTGTCTTTGGAAAAATAAATACTTTCTTTATATAGAACTGTATTTTGCTGGTTGGCCAAAAATATTGTAATGAAATGTTACTTCCTGCACAACTGGACTTCCTGAAATTTAATGATACTTGAATAACACAGAGATGTGGTGCAAACAAAACTCCATAATTCGTATTGTTAGAAATCAGCCTTCTGGAGAGTCCTCCAGCATGATGTCCAATTTGTGCATCTTAGCCTAAAAGACTCCTTAAGAAAGTGTGACAGAATTAAAAATTAAAAAAACAACAACTGTTTGGATTTTTTAAAACTAATAGGTATAAATTACATGTCCAGGATGCTTTCTCACTATCAGATTTTTATAAATCTATTCTAACCATTCTACAGAAGTTATTCATTTCAGACAGATTACAGGAACTTAATTAGATGAGGATACTGTACAGTACACTTGGAGAGGGTGTTTTATGTGAGAAGTGTTTCATTTCTACTAAAACCTCTATCAGGTTCATCCTATTTGAATTCTGTGGAGCTTCCTGTTCATGCTCATGCTGGATGTTATCCATTATGTAGAACTGTCCCTTTCCAAATTGTCCATGTCTTTATCATCAGTATAGTTTAGGGGACAGTTTTTGGGTCCTTGCTCCTGCATGGTGTTCCATGTGATTTTGTAGGACTGATGGATGAAGGGTCCTGGTATGGTTCATTCCAAGAGGAGGTCTCAGGCTTGCCCAGTACTTCTCATCTCCCCTTAGCCTCTGTGTACTGGACATCTTAGCACACCTGTGAGTCAGTTGAATATACTTTAAAGAATGTGGAACAAATAACAAAATTTAGTTTGAAGGGCTTCAGTGGAACTTCGAGTGATGTGTGCTTTGGATATATTTCAAATTAAGACCCGTTGAGCTATCATGGTTAACGTTGTAATGCTCAGATTTGGGGCAATTGGTTTGCGATCTGACTTGCTCTAACACCAAACCATACTTCATAACATTGCTGCAGGAGGGAAGATGAAAATAGGCTTTATGTACTTAGCTAGGATGAAAACAGAAATGGAGAAGCAAAAAGTGTAATGCCTATTGACCTTAACATTCACTAAGTGCTTTGTAGTCAGAGTGACACTCAGAAAAACAATGTTATCAGGTGCATACCTTTCCCTACATGGCTGGAGTGTTTTAGGTGAATTTCAGCATGTGAAGTTTGGGATGCTGGTTCCTGATGCGTAAAATAAAAGATCAGTGAAAAGGTATTCTGATTAAAATGTAATCAGGAGTTCTTTGACTGTAACTAATGGCCAAGTACAATCCAGTACAAAAAGGCCTTTTTGCAGTCTGGAATTCTCCCCCATTTGTAAAATCTGTGACTGACAAGAGATGTCAGAGTTCATCTAACTGAAATGCTCTTGGTTGTGTTGAACTCATTAGAGCCTATCAGATAAAATAACTAACATTCCAGGATCAATCCCCCATTCTTCCACGAAAAGAAAAAAATCTGAATATATTATTGTTAGCTGCAAATGCCCATGACTCAGCCATGCAGACATCCAATAGATAATTTTGTAGGGCACTTAAAAAGTATCTTGATCTTTTTGTTTGTCTGGTAAGAGTTCTGCATTCATTCTGGTGATGCAGGAAATGTGCAGTAAATTTTAGAGCATGCTGAAAATTGCTTTCTGCTTCAATGCCTGGCAAACAGCCATGGAGCTGTAAGCTTCAGCTTTAGGTTGTCTGCATCTGTTCCAAGTTGACCCAAGTCCTGAGCTGTTGTCCATCTTAACAGGAGGAATGCTCAAGTGTCTGATCCTCCACGCACGTTTTTAAGGTGGATGCCTTTGGTTTAATCCAGAGAAATTGAAGAGAGGCTGTAATTCCATTAGTTCACTGTTAGTAGGCATTCCAGCGATCAAACACGCACTTGCTGTACCCATTTTCTTTACCCATTTCTCTGCCTGTGCTACCTATGGCAAGATATTATATAAAAAGGACCATGGCACCTTTATGTTACTGAAAAATGATTGTTAGCAGCTTTAACTGGTGGAACAATGCAAAGTTATCTCGTATGGTCTCTTCCAACCTAGAAATTCTGTGATTCTGTGATTCTGTTAGCATCATGTAACTGAATGCCTGGGATGGAAGCTGAATTTACTTTGCGTTCATAGTTGTTTCTTGCATTAATTTGACTTCCCATTTTCAAAAGCATGTATTTGCCTTTTTCCTCTGTAGGAGTTACTCAGAGCTCTCTTTGGATCCTCCTTCCAGTTTCAGCTCCTTGTAGTCTTACAGCTGTCTCTTATGAGCAGCATTTTTGGGGGCATAATATCACTGAGGCTATTCACAGAAGGAAGCCCTCCTCCCACCACTGTGTTTGCATCATCATGCACTGAATGAAATTATGTCAGTAATGGAAATTCAGGCATATACCAAATACTGTAGAAATATGAAACTCTTTGACTTAGTGAGGACGGGCATCTGAAGTGTAGCTAGAAAAGTATTTAGACATTTTGCTATTTAGGATTTTAAGGGAGAAATAAGAAAGCAGGCAGATTTTTATTAGTTTATTATTCTTTTTCCTGCTCTTTTTACACTGGTAAGACAGATCTCAGAAAACTCTGTGTGAACTGAAGGAAAGTATGTTCTTGATGGTTCCCATGGGTGATGAAACAATATTTTTTAATTCTACTTCAAAATATACAGCAAGTTTGGTGTTTTTGTTGTTTCCAGGATTTTAATCTTGTTTTCAAATATCTTGTACAATTTGGAAGATGAGATTTCTCATATGATTTCATACATAGCTTGTGAAAGGTTACTACTCATATTTTTATGTCTTCCAGCAAAAACAGACTGGCTTTGTTGGCTATATATTTAAAAACAAACACAAACATTTATTTTTTTTTGTTCATTGCAAAAGAAACAAAAAGGATACCTCCCTGTTTTCCCCTCAAGGTCAGCTTTTAATTTGCAGGTGGGTTTGGTGGGTGTGGGTAACAGGTTTATACCAGGTGCCTTAAGGTAAATAACCACTGTGAAAGATCTGGGGTTTGGTCTTTGTGTGCTTTATGTTCTGCATTAATATTTTGCTGGAATTGTTTTATTTAAATTCTGCATTTTTGTTAGAGCCCGGAACCACACAGCAGAGATATTTACATTAACCTATGGTGGATTTTAACTATGAATGGAAGCATGAGCGTGGTTTTTGAGTCCTTTTTCGTTCCTTTTTTATTTGTATTTTTTACTTTAATTATTTATTGTGCTGCTAGTGCTGTACTGCTTTATTCTTTCTAACAGAGGCATGTTTTCTTCTTGTATAGGCAAGCCTGTTGTCCTGTCCAAAGAAGTGGAGTCTGTTTTGGTGGGTGCTGCTATTCTTGGAGCTTGTGCTTCTGGGGATTTTGCATCTATACAGGTATGTAGTACCTGATTTCTTTTATTTTTTATTGTATTTTACGCTTTGACATTTGGCACCATGTACAGACCTTAATTCAATTGGAAAAGTTTGTACCTTTTGCACAGCCGGACAAGAGCCAGCATCACTTTCTTACAAGCCTTTTTTTTAAACTCTGCTAGAGGTGTAGAAGATCTAATAGTCTTTTGACTGTGGCTACATGCAAGTATAAGCTGCTCTCTCTGAAGTTAGACTGCGTAATTTTACAGACAGAAAAGGGAATTTGGCAAGGCTCTGCTCCTGCAGGAAGGCCCCACTTTCATCTCAGTTATATTTGTCCTACTTACCTTCCTTCACATTGAGGAATCCTAAACTTAAGAAACATAGCATATATACAGTAAAGAAAAAAGAAAAAAAAAGAAAAAAAAAGGCACACCTACACTTGTTATCTTGCTCAGAGTGAATGCAGAGTTAATAATGAGGATGGAGCTTCATGTTTATTCATGTTATTTCAGTCCTTTAACAATTGTAAAAGTGGCAGTAGGCTTTCATGCTCAGTGGATCAGCCAAAGCATGACTTAGCTGCTATTATATTAAACAAATAATAATAAACAGAAATCAGAAGAAGGGTCTGTATGCTCAAAATTATATTTCTTTTCCCACCTGTCAACTCCACTAGCATAAGACATTTCCTCTCCTAGCACAAGGAACAGCTTGCTTTCCTAAGAATTCTTCCATTAAGATGAATCCTATTTGAACAAATACATTGTGCAATGTGTATACCTACTTCAGAAACCCAGTGCTTGTAACGAGAACTTGATTGTCTTGATATGAGTAATTTCAGTAGCAGCTTTTGGTGATAGGACTTCATATTTAATTCCTACTCTTCTGTTAATCTTCTCCCTTCCAATACACCAATATTTCATTCCTAGTTTAAGACAACTTGCACTGTTATTCAATCAGTGAGCATCTCAAATCTGTTTTTATTAATTCTGTCTTCATATCCATGTGAAAAATCTATAGCTGCAAAATTTTGTGTAATTTGTTTTTATATAATTTTGGTATATTCCTTTGCCTTTAGCTTTTATCCCTGCACTTACATACCAAAATATGTCAGCAGCTTATTCAAGAATGTCAGAAGATAGGCATATTTTATACATAGATGCATATGTCAGCATAGCACACTCCTTCAGAAATCTTTTGCAGTCAGACTACATCATGTCAGAGACTTCTTAATTTAAAAAGTGTTTGCTCTTTTACAGTATGTTGGGAGGTTCCTGCCTCTTGGCTCACGGGAATACCAGTATATAAGGCAAAAGAACAAATATAAATTTAATCCGAGCGCCTTTGCACTGCATAATAAGTGTGATTTCCCAAACACAGCTTTTTTTTTTTTTTTTTTTTTTTTTTTTTTAATCAACTACATGTTATGAAGAAACAAGAAACTTTATAAATGTCTTTTTGGGGAGGATGGTGTAAATGTTCTTCTTACATTGCCGTTCAGTAGCTTTCTCTTAAATTTATTTTTCTAACATATTTTGCAAAAAAAATCTTTCTTAGAGGTGCTGCTGCAAACATTCAGCAGCATTGTAGTCTCTGCAATTATTAGAAGTTATTATATGTCCTCTGATGTTTTGTACTTAGTTATTGAGCTTTTCAAAGCTTTGTTTGTTCAGTCTAACAGTAGAGGAGAAAAGTGTGTTTTTTACAATAAGCTATTTCCTTATTTCTATGTTTGTTTGAAGGGGAATTTTTACTGTGTTTGTCCCAGTGATTTTGGTCACATTTCTCAGAATGATTTTTGGATATTTCCTCTCCATGTCAAAATCAAAACACATAAAAACTATCTGGTTTTCCTGGTTTGGCTGTTCTCCATTTTGTAAAATTCAGGCATCTTTAGGAAAACTTGGAAATACCACCCAAAACCAAGATCCCTCACAATCAGTTCTGGTAATCTTCATCCAGATTTAACCTGTATCTGTGTCCACATATGTGGACTTGGTGGTTGCTGTTTTACTCTCATACTCCTGTATGGTCCTGATCCTTAGTACTGTGCCATTCCAGCATTGGAATTTGGAAATGGGAAAGGATCTGCTTCAGAGAAATGTTAGGGGATCATTTCTCCAAGGAGAGGGAGCTCATTTACCAACCCATCACTGTATGATGAACCCAGCCAGCAGGGTATGTACAACAATGGGATGCCCGCCCTTCACTTTCCTGGGCAATTGGTCATAGTTGGAACACCAACGAGCTTTTCCTCTATACTTTGCTGTCCCTAAATAAGTTTCTTGTCACAAAGAAACACGCACCAATACACGTCCTGACTCCATCCCTTTTCTCATCCCAGCAGTGGCTATTTGCAGGATGCGGTATTTTCTTCTCATTCTCATTTCTCGTATCTTGTTATTCTTATTTTGAGTGATTTGCAGAGTAAAGATTTTCGTGCTTTTTGTTCACCACATCTATAGCAGTAACAACATCCTCAGTATGCCGAGCCTTTGCAAGAAGATACTGGAAATGAAGGTTAATGCATAATTTGTAACCATGCAGGTTGACTTGCTGGATGTGTGTAGTTTTAAAAGCTCAAGCCCCTTGGATCTGCAATTTCATCTTTAGGTAATTCCATCAAGGAGAGATTTATAACCTCCATCTCTCATGCCTGGTCACCATATGTTGTTCCTTCAAAGAATGTTGACTTCCTTGTTTTCCTCTTCATTTACTCTCTCTGCATTTTTCTCCTCTGTGGTAAAAGGGAATTAAAACAATTGGTATCCAAAAAAGAGAAACAAAACAAAACAAAAACACAGTGTGGTGAGAGTTATTTCCCATTTCAGCTTTTGGTTATTTAGTCTCCAGAATCTCCGGAAAAGGGAGAAAATCTTCTGAATTTCTTCTTGCAATTTAGTTTATCTTTTCACTTGCCCCTGCTACAGCCTTTTCCTTTTAGTGGTTTTGTTATGTCTTGGTCGTTGTTCCTGTGAACTGCCGCTCAGCCTGCCTGGGTCGGTGCTGACACAGAGGACAGCGCTGTGCAATATCGCACGACAGAAAGATTTTGGAAATATATGCCGTACTTCGGGGCTTCGGATTTTTTGAAATATGTGCCGCATTAAATGAAATAACCGTAACATTGCTGGCTTAGATGGGCCAATTTATTGGTCCTAGCCATTCCTTTCATGCAGAGCAGCAGGATCCTGGTTTTCTGTGTGATTGTTTCTGTAGTAAAAATATAGTTTCCGGTTTAGCGAGCCAGCAATTCCTTCTCAGTAAAAATATTCAATAAATAAATGTCAAAGTTTCCAGTATATCCTCATTACTCTGCTTCACTTGTATGTAATTGAAAATGGGAAGAAGGTGCTGTTTGATTTGGCAATCATCCAGCTCTTTTTTTTTTCTTTTCTTTTTTTGATAACCTACGTTTTGGGACAAAGCTGTACGCCAGGGAACGGGATTATTGCCTTATAAAATCCAGCAGCCCACTGACTGTTCCTTAATTGCACATTAAAGCAATTAATAAAATTACCTGTATGAAACCAAATTACCAGATTTATTTTGGACTTGGTATCTTAACGTGGGTCATTCTTCTGGCCAAGGTGGAAGAGAAGAAACTTGGTATGATTTGCCACAAGACGTTTTACTGGTAACTTTCTGCAGGCATTCTTGGTGTAAAGCATCGAGCTAGAAGTCAGGGTTGGAGCAGGACTGGTTTTCTTTCCTACTAATGCTCCTTCCATAGGACTTAATCTTGCACCGACGCTGTTCCAAACATCAGGAATGTTTGGAGAGTGCTTAGCAAAGCAATGATACCAGAAAAAAAAAAATAATGTGACAAAAATGAGGTGGGCGTGGTGGCGATGTTCTGTTAGATGGAGCAGCTTAAATGTTCAGCAGCGGGTGGTGCTGGAGCATGTACACGTGTCAGCACCCTGGTGTGTGGTGTGCAGCTCTGTGAGTGTTTAGTGCTGTGTGTAGTGTCCCATATCTGTGATGTGCATCCAGCCCTTTCCCCTTGTGCCCCATCAGGTTGTGTATATGCTCTTGTGCATGTCGCCTCGTCTTATTGATTAGGGCCACGTTGTCCTCTACGGTAGGTACTGCTATTCTAACAATATGTTGCTTCTCTTTAGCAAGACCACTGGTGTCTGTTCCTATGTAAGGGAGATGCTGCCCTCCATTTGAGCAGAACTGCCGCTCCGAGAGAAGCTGGCACCTCTTCAGCAATACCTTCTTGGTGAGAATTGCTGACCAGAGCTCTCGCTTGTGAGAACACCCATAAGTAGTGCAGGGACCTGCTCGAGTTTTCTGCTGACAGAAAAGGCGAGATGGGGCCCTTTTCATTTCTGGATCAGGCTGTCTGGTGTAATTTTGTGTAGCTCCACTTATTTCAGTGGACGTGCTTCAGCTGATGACCTGATCCTCTATTCCTCTTCCAAAGCATTACCTGTCAGGTCATGGACTGAAATTAATACAAGTGTTCTACGTGATTTCCATATTTTCAAAAGCAAGAACCAAGTGAAAGATCAGGGAGGGGATAGTTTTTTCCTTAGAAATGGAAATAACTTGGGAAATCAAAAGAGGAAATAAAATGACTTCTCCCTGTTGAGTTAGGGAATATTGCCTTCCCTCATCTCATTAAAAATTTAAAGCGCTCTTGTTTTTGAGCAGGGTGAATTAGTAATTAAGTGCTATAATCAACTTGTGTAAACATAATATTGAAGGAGAGTAGCAAATTAATCATTTTGTTGGCTTGTCTTACCCAATTAATGCACCTTTTACTAAAGGCCTTTCTGTCCTGTTGGGATGCTTTTTTGCTTCTATTCCCTTAGAGTATTTTGGAAATGCAAAGGAAGGAGGTGGTTGTTTTTAGGTACCACAGTGCATGCAGGGAGTGTGTTAAGGTGCTGTGGGCTTTCCTTCCTTTTCTTCAAAAATTCCTCATCTGTACAAGTATAGGTAGAGGCCATCCTTGGGCAAGGCTTGGAGACAGCTTTTGCTTTTCTTTGTAGTGTATTGGCTGGGTATGGCCTCTTTATTTAATTAATTCTTTCACTTTCCTTCCTGGATAAGTATATCATCAATCTATATTGAAAGGACATGTGCTCCATAAAAAAATTACCCTAAATTTCAGTGCATAACTCATATACGTATTGTTGGAGACAATATTCTGGTGGTGAAAACAGCTGAGTCTTCACAGTCCATTCATTTCGTGTGTTCTCACTTCTGACTGTCAGCAAAGTTATCAAGCAATGTCAGGGACAGTTTGTGATGTGAACTGTGCTGCTTGCTGAGAACCAAGCTGTTTTCTGCACGAACAGCTGAGATGTCCGATGACTGGGGGCTATATTTTCATCCAGGGCTGGACTCAAAGCAGTGACTCAGCAGTAGAAATGTATCCCTTTACCTCTTTCCGTGGTGTTTTGACACTGAAATACATCTTTGCCTAATTGACAGGTTGTTTTTTGTTTTGGTTTGTTTTTTGTTTTGCTTGCATAAATAAGTTAGATTCGATACATCATGTATGAAACCACCAAGATACTGGCAATGCCTCTGGCTTTTGTATAGAGTCAGCTGCCTTCTTACCAGAAATCTGTAGAGAAATATAGATGAGAGAGAAAAAATTAAAAGGCGGTGATTTGATGGCCACTGTCCAGTTCCTTGTGGCCTAGTGTTTATGGTACAAAGAGTGCCTTTTTAGTTAGCGTATTTTGGCCTTACTGTCAGAAGTCTTAGCACTTAGGGTAAAAAATGGATGAATCAGGACTCCTTTTTTGCCCTAAGGATGATCCTTTTGCATTAAAGCTGAGAAATGTAAATGCTTCTGTGTCTCTGCCAAGCACACAATGAGCTTTCAACCAGTTTGAGAATATTTAGTGTATTTTTTTTCACTTTTCAAAAGCCACAATAAATATATGAAAACATTTTTACTTTCTTTCAGCTGAATTCAGTGGGCAGTGTTCACATATGTTTGGAAATCCTCTCGTGGTGGGAGTTAGGTCACACGTACAAGCACCACCACTTAGAGAGTCAAACAGCTGAGATGTGGCCGTAGCTGATAGCAGGATGCTTTCACAAAAGTGCTAAGAAAAGTACCCTCTGTCTTGTTGCTGTTTACTGACATGTGATACTGGTTGACATCTGTTGCCCTTCTCATTTGAGGACTGTTTGCTTTACTGACTTTAACATTTCCACATTGCTATGCTGTTGAAGTGCAGATACACAAATCTCCTTGGAGTCCCCAAGGTCCTTTTATGAGAAGCAGAGCTGCCATCATTTGATATCATCCTGCTGGCTGCTTTTTATATTGGAGTTGAGAGAAATAATTCTGTTGCTGTTAAATGTTCTTGGTGGAGTGCTATGTCTATTGCTATATGTTGTCATACATTTGATGTATTATCAGATTAGTACATGCTGTTATGGTAGTGTTTGGTTCATTGTCACGTTAGATGATTTGTAGTCGTTTATATATCACTTGAAATTATTACAGGTAAAAACTTGTCTAAGAAAATGTCAAAGTTTGTAGTAGCGGGTCATATAGCTACTAAAATGACAGATGATAGTAGTCCATAATCATAATGCAATATTCTCTGTTAATGTAAATCAGCGTTGCTCCAGGACTGCAGGGGGCTGACACCAGTTTACTCCAGTGCCCTGATCCAATCAAGCACTTAGGTACATCATTTAACTTTCAAGTAGGCCAGAAGTTCAGCTGAAGACAAGCAGGACTGCCCATCTGCTGAAGTACTTCACTGGATCGGAGCCCAAACAGGAATCTGACACACGGTTCACTTGCAGATGACACATCTTGAAATGATAAAGGCTATTATGGCTCTCGCAATTGGCTCATATTATTACCCATTCAGAAATGAGCTGTGGATGCTATAGGTAATAGTATACAAAGGCTGTGTCCTTTTGTTCAGCGCTGGCCTTTCTGTGCAAACTTAGCATGCTCCAATTTAAATGTCATCCAGTGCACGAATGTTCAGATTTGGAATTTCTCAGTAACTTTAGTGACAAGGAAAGGCAGCTGCAGTTAGTCTGTGTGATACATGGGCTACAACAGAGCTGTACCCATTTACACTAGCTGAGTATCTGGCACAGAAGTACTGAAGTTGGAGGCAACAATCACAGAAATCTAATACTTAAAGATACGGCCATATTATTTTTCTAAAAGTGGGTAATGAAATACCACGCTAATGAAATGACACGGAGCGTAGCCTTCCATGTGGGCATCAGTGAGAGTCATTGTGTTGGGATATCAGGGTGGCTTATCTGTTATTAATTCTGTCTGAGAACAGTGATAAAGATTTTATTACTTATTCTTAAATTTATTAGGGTGGACTGAAAGGGCAGCAAAGATCTCAACGGTGCTTGAATGACCCAAGAAATCTGTTTAATTTTCTGTATTTGCGTTGAAGATGCATTCAGGTTTGCATGTTGGTGTAGTTCCACTGACTTCACCCGACTTTTACATCTTGCTTGTGCACGCCCGCTGACCATGTTAGAAGCAGCCATATGCATGTAAATAAAATCTGTTCTGTGGGCTCAGCACTTAGATTGTCATGCCTTTTAGCTTTTAATAAACTCACATCAGCTGATGTTGGCAAAGAATAGGAGGCAGTGTTTTGTTAAGCTGCAGCAATTGAGACTCTTACTAGACCAGGAGTATTCTTCTCATCTGTCGGTAAACCCAAGACCTGGCAAACAGGAGAAAATATGCTGACTAGAATAGTTCAGATTCTGCTGTTGCACATTTATGGAACAAGCCCCAATATGACCACAGCTGTGGAGTTTATGTACAATTAGCTGATTTTTTTTTTCAAGCAGACGAAGACTGAACAACTTGTAGAACAAATTGTATTTTTAATATCTCTACCTTACTGTTATTCTAGCTTGCTGGCCTTGTCTTGAGGAAAACCATAAATATGAGGAAGCCATAAATGTGTCTTTATAGTAGACAGATGCTTTCTGTAAAACGTACAGTGATCCATCTCCTTTCTATTTTAAGGCCAGGTTTTACCCACATGCTCAAAAACATGGCTGAAGTCATTTGGACCTTGGACTCCCCTTCTGTCCAGGCCATGTAGGCAGGGAAGAGCGTGATAGCAATATTTTATGGGAGGTTTGAGTACAAAGGAGGATACCATGCATCCTTTGTAACTGTCAGTGGCCAGCAAGGTCCTTTTCAGAGTGTCTTGCTTAAATAATGTTTGAGATGTCAAACGAGTTAAAGTCTCCATGCCCTCACCTCTTCAATAGCTGAGCAGAACAACCTTCAAGTTATGCACTAGAGAATTGGAAACTCAATCTGGCTACATTGTGAGATTAATTTTCCATCTGGGATTTGCACTCTTGCTATGTCAGCGCAGGGGATCAGACTGTTCTGCAGCAAAGCACGAGCGTGTAGAGTCACTGCACTGGCTGTCTGAAGAGCTCGTGGTCTTTTTGTGGTAAAGTTTTGAAGAATGTCATGATCACTTACTTATGGGATTTGATGCCAGTAGTTTGTATCACCTGGGCATACTTTTGCCATCCTATATCTGAAGGTTTTTTACCATATAAGTACTACCTCATCCTTTCTACTAAAGATGCCTAGAGGGTTTTGTTTCTCAAAATTTGCCCTATTTTGCCCTAATGTAGCTTAATAAGACTCTTACCATCTAAACATTTCCAATGCATCTCATTTCACTGTGGTTTATGTTAAGTAGTATTTCTTTATTCTCTTTTATATAATCATGGATTGGAAGTGTTAGAGATCCCATAAGCCCTATTAGTTTTATTAGCAAGAAAAGCCAGTTGCTTTATTAGCATACTGGCTTTCCACATCTTCAGCACTGGAATCCAGTTCTTATTCTCCTTTATTTGTCTTGCTTAAGTCATAGGTTCTTGCTTCCTTGATTTCTTAGATATAGACATAGATCACTCCCAACCCTTGCTTTCTTTTGTGTTCTGAAGCAACTTTTCACACCCACAGTGCTTAACTATTTTTAATGCACAAGTTAATACTAGAAATTGGACAGTGACCCGTAGAGACAACCCATATAAAATTGCTGTATGGTTCTGATTTGTTTTTACTGGGACAAGTGTCCACGTAGCGATTAGCAGACCATAATTGTCACTCTTGAAGGAAATATAAGCAGAAAGGCTAACCACTAACTGGGCATGGAAAAGCATAACTTGCAGATTTTTGCTCAAAGATATTCCTCCAGGTTAGGGTTGAAAAGCACTGGGGGA